GTTGTTAGCATAACTGTTGCAAATAAACATACATTTTATATTTTAAAACGTTTTTAAAATATGCTACATAATATATAAAAAATAATATATATAAAACTATTTAAAATATAAAATGTATATTTTTTTATGCCGGTGTCCATCAGTGAATCTGCTCACTCCAAAGTCCCCACTCCAAGGTGATAGGAATGATCACTTCCATTTGGAATTTGCCCGTGAACTGTTCGGTACATGATATGTGTACCGTTACACCCCTAATATATATATACTGTACACTATATATATACAGTATCTCACAGAAGTGAGTACACCCCTCACATTTTTGTAAATATTTTATTATATCTTTTCATGTGACAACACTGAAGAAATGACACTTTGCTACAATGTAAAGTAGTGAGTGTAGAGCTTGAATAACAGTGTAAATTTGCTGTCCCCTCAAAATAACTCAACACGCAGCCATTAATGTCTAAACCGCTGGCCACAAAAGTGAGTACACCCCTAAGTGAAAATGTCCAAATATAATTATAAATTCCAAATATTATATAATTTCCAGACTTGGCTTCCCAGTTAATTCCTACGTTTTATATGAATTTATATTTTTATGCAATGGCTACATTGCAGTCTAGAATTACTTGCAAATGCAGCATCATAGTCAATCATATCCTTAAAATAGATACAGTCTAAATTAAAGAGGGCAAACCATACAATTCAGCCATGAAGTCAAATATAACACATCAGTTTGCCGAAGAGCCCAGGACTGCGTCAGATATACCATGCGTGATAAACTCTATATTTATACATGGCTGTCTAGAGCAGTGTTTCCCAACCGGGGTGCCGTCTGTCCAGAGCAGGGGTGCCGTGTAAAAAAATCCTTTTTTAATATTTTTAAATTGCTAAAATGTTCAAAAAAAGCATCTATTATATAATATCCATTTCTGATGTCGCCAATAATTAGAGATGCACCGAAATTTCGGCTGCCGAAAATTAGTTGACCGCTCAGGATTCACTTTCACGTGGTGTGACGCTCTGCGT